AAACCTTGGGGGAAAAAACGGGAACTCTTCCCCTTCTACCCTTTTTGGGGGGGGGGGGGGGGGGGGGGGTGTACTCATAGTCGTGCATGCCGTAGTCGTTAGACCATTGACCTCGCATCCCTACAAAGCCGGGACGGAGCACGCCGGGTTCTCACCGGACCAGGCTCTCACATCACCAAGCGCGAAGCGCCGTGAGGTATTTGGCGAGTCGCATGAAGGGTGAGCTGCATCCTGCTAAGGGTGTTCGGCATCTTGTGCTTACTTCCTTGCGTACGGATGACAGCTACGTATGACTTAATTTATTTTCTGGTGCTTTCACTTCCAGAGACAGTTGTAAGCACTGTGTAACTGCCTCGAGGATGCTTGACCATTTTAACACAACGTGGTGCGATCATCCCCCTTGCGCGGAGTGAGGGTTCTCCACCCCGCACAACATGATCTACTCGACCACCATTCACGGTTACCGCCAAAAAAAAAAAACAGAGGTAAAAAAAAAAACGTTAACCTGGTTGCCAAGTTCACGAAGTGAATTGGCTTGTTTTACAACGGCGTTGCCAAGCGACGAAAACCCAATCCCGATGGCAAACACCGAGGGGGGGGCTTGTTTTACAACGTCGCTGCCAAGCGACGAAAACCCAACCCCGATGGCAAACAAGGCCGAGGGGGTGGGGGGGGGTGCGCAATAACCACTGTCTTGGCGCTGGTGGCACATCTGGCATTTGAGCAAACCGTTTTGCCGGAAACAACAACACAGTGGCTGGCGGTGATTGGTCTCGGCTTGCTGCCTGTTGGCGCAGCATTTTATATATGGGACTACGGCATGAAACGCGGCGATGTTCAGGTCATTGGCGCATCAAGCTATGCAGCGCCTCTATTCTCGACGATCATTTTGATCGCCTTTGGCCGCTCGGTATTTTCATGGTCGATTGTTTTTGCCTGCCTGCTGATAACATTCGGCGCAATGCTGGCCGCCAAAGATATTATCCTGCGCCGCAAAAAGCCTAAGCACCTTTAGGTTTGCGCGGTGTTGGCCGCCAATCTGGTTGCCCCAGTTCAAAGCTTGAAAATTCAAACCCCGGCGC